TTTTTCTATATTTGTGAGCCATTAATCTATCTTCTTTCAAAAGTTTCTGTTCATGTTCTTTGCCCACTTTTTGATAGAGTTGTTTTGATTTTTCTTGCTGATTTCCTGAGTTCTAAATAGATTCTAGTTATCAGCCATTTATCAGATGTGTAGCTTGCACAACTTATAATTGCAAAGATGTGGAATCAACCAAATGCCCATCAATTCAGTGTGAATAAGAAAAATACAGTGTATATATACAACGGAGTACTACTCAACCATAATAATAAATGAAACAATGCCTTTATAAGAACTGAGATGAAGTGGAGACTATAATTTTAAGTGAAGTAGCTCAGAAATGGAAAACCAAATACCATATACTCTCATTAATAAGTTGGAGCTAAATGATGGGTATACACAGCCACAAAGAGATATAAAGGTTATTGGAAATCAAGAAGTGGGGAGGGTGGGGACTGAGGAATAAATACACAATCTATTAGGTACAATTAACATTATTCTGCTTATAGGCACAACAAAAGGCCTGACTTTACAAGGTATCAATGTAACAAAAACATTTGTAACCCCTTAATTTTTTGAAATTTAAAATATTTTAAAAATAAAAGAAAAATGAAACATATACCATGCAAACAACCAGGTTGAACACTGCTATGGTTAATGTAGTGTCATTATATAAGGCAAGAATCATTATTAGAAATGTAGTTTAATAATGATTGATTTATTTTTTCAAACTATTAGTTACATGTTTCTAAAATATGTATGTACCTAATAATACTATTTCAACATAGAATGGAAAGAAGTGAATGAATAAATGATCATAAACATGTAATAAACAATTCTGTCTCAGTTTTATTACACAGGTACAGCAATGAGCTTATAGAAATATTTAAACTAGATAATTAACTGTTACAAACATGCACATGAGCACAGATACACATATGATATACTAATACAGGATACTCATATTTTTAAGTTCTCATGGGAATTTTCCAAGAGTATACTATAATCTCATATTACTGAGCATATTAATATGAAATATAGAACCATGCACTCAATACAGTGCCACTAGCCAAGCCTGCCCAATGGACACTTGAAATGTAGCTATTCACTTTTAATCATAATTTAAAAGAAAATAAATAACACTAAAAAGCAGTTCCTCTTTCACACAAGCCACATTTTAACAGACATGTAGAACATTTTCAGTTCCACACAAAATACTCTTAACTACAGTTTACCTAAAAAGAAGTCCACAACCAAAAAATTTGAAAATCTACATGAGTTTTAATTCTGCCATATATTGCTAAAGAAAGTAAGAGTGAAAGAAATTACTACAATGGATAGTCACAATTTTATATGAATTATGAGTAAAATAGAGCAAAATTCTTTCTTGTGAAAAATTGGTTGATTTAAATACATACACGGCAAAAAATGAAATCAGAAATGGAATTATCTGAGCATGCAACAATTGGATTTAAAAAGAGAAAAGCTGAAATCAAATGGTAGAGAAGCAGAAGAAATAAAATCATGTATAAAATAAAAACAAGTATAAAATCATGAGAGAATCAACAAAGCCAAAGACACTTTCATTGAAAACACTTAATAAAATTAATAAAGACTATTTAAGAAAGAGCCAGAGAAGGCACAAATATTTTATTTCTAGATTAACTGTGGGACTACCTTATGATTTTTACAGATATCAAACAAGTAATGAAACCACGTTATAAATACAATTTAAAATCCACGTAAAATAAAAAAAACCTAAAATATACAAATTACCCAATTATAATAAAATAACAAATTGAGTAAACCCTACATGTATTAAACAAACTAAATTTTTTATAGAAACTTTCCTACAAATATATTCTACAAACTCAGATGGCATCACAAATGAATAATAACATTGCAAAATAAAACAGCACTTTTCTCATATAGCAAAAGCAATCCTAGGCAATAAAAACAAAATGGGAGGTATTGATTTACCAGACTTCAAACTATACTACAAGGCTATAGTCATTAAAACAGCCTGTTATTGGTACAAGAACAGGGACTTTGACCAGTGGAACAGATCAGAGAACCCAGATATAAAACCATCCTCATGTAGCCATCTAATCTTTGAGAAAGCAGACAAAAACATACACTGGGGAAAAGAATCCTTATTCAATAAACGGTGCTGGGAAAACTGTATAGCCACATGTAGAAGATTGAAACAGGATCCACACTTTTCACCTCTCACAAAAATCAACTCACGCTGGGTAACAGACCTGAACCTTAGGTATGAAACTATTAGAATTCTAGAGGAAAATGTTGGAAACACTCTTCTAGACATTGGCCTAGGCAAAAAAAATTTATGAAGAAGATCCCAAAGGCAATCATAACAGCAACGAAAATAAATAAATGAAACCTGATCAAATTAAAAAGTTTCTGCACAGCCAAAGAAACTGTCCAGAGAGGAAACAGATGATCCACAGAATGGGAGAAAATTTCACAAGCTACACATCCGATAAAGGGCTGATAACTAGAATCTATTTAGATCTCAGGAAAATCGGCAAGGAAAAAAAAAAAAAACCATCAAAAAGTGGGCAAAGGACATGAATAGAAACTTTTCAAAAGAAGACAGTACAATGGCCAACAAACACATGAAAAAATGCTCAATATCTCTAATCATCAGGGAAATGCAAATCAAAACCACAATGAGATATCACTTATCTCCATCCAGAGATATATTTGAGTTTGAAAGTTGAGCCATTTATTGACACCCATGGATGATCACTGCTGTTACAAAAGACTCCAACCGTGATTGACCTGACAGGGAGCCCAGAAATTCATATAGGAATACAAATATTTTATATTTAAATAGTTACTAAAGGGTTTACAAATTTTTAAATGTGCCTGTAAGCAGTGCATCCTTTCATTGGATCTATAATTGTCAAAACAAAATTAATATTTTAGGCAATATTAAAGCTGAAAACCAGTTTTTCTATAGCTAAAAGCTTTCCCAAATATTTGCAACTTTGGTTTTTAAACTTTAAACTTTTAAACATTTATACTTAGCATTTCATTCTTCTGTGTTAATGAGGAAAATTATGAACCATGTAATTTAATAGTTACCCATGTTGGCAAAACTAATATAGCATGAATATACATTTGCAGACATTGTATATATATTTCTACTGGTGGTAATATGAAATTAATGCATATTTCTACTATATTTCTAAGAGTTTAGGGTTTAGAAGGGAATTTAAAAGGCTGCCATTGAGGAAATAAACAATATATAAGCCAAAAATATGGTTTTCTGGTCACCACACCATTCTTTACCTATTTAAGTCCCCACTTTTGCCTGTTTTCATATTGGTGGAACACCAAAGGTAAAAAACTGGGGCTGCTCCCTACTAATACAGCAATAAACTATGAAACTTATGAAAGAAACAAGCAAAGGAAACTCATAAAGATAGAATAAGAAGGATGGAGTGGTTTGGGACCCCGTGATCAGGGATCCACGTAGTGGCTGGGCATCTTAAGTCCCCACTCAACAAGGAAGTAACCTAGGCCTGCTGTCCCCCAGCACCTACCCTGGCAATGAGAAGTGCCTCAGGTAAGTTCATTCCCCCTCTGTACTGAGAGGGAATCCTGCCAGCATCTCTGGCAAGGCTGGCACCACCAGCAAGGGTGGTCTATCAGGAGACCTGCTAACAGTAAGGAGCCAGAGGAAGTGCTTCTGTCCCCCACCAAAAGACACCAGGGTAGGTGTGGCTGAGGGGACCAGCAAAGGAGTCCCATGACTACAAGTGCTCCATCCAGGAAGCCTCTGTGTCCCTGAAGGCGTGAGACTCATGTCCCCCAGCCAGTGACACCAGATAAAATAAGTTGTTGGACAAAGATTACAAATTTCAACAATGTGTGAGCAACATTATCTTCATATTTTATATTAAAATAGCATATCTCAACTTTATTTGTCAATAAAAATGTGTAAGCATGCCATGTGCTCTTTCTCCACACCCCTGCACTCCACTGCACATCCTAGAACAGTTGTACTGAGGAGCTGTTAAGTGCTTTACCTTTGCAGTGGTAAGATCTGTCATTGCCTTGAGGATCCCGAGCAGCACTTTAGGGTTTAATTCTGCATAGGTTATTTCCTGCTCACTTTCTGACATGGATCTTTTAGTGCCCTTCGTTTTCTTTTGCTGCTACTTTGGGATTTGGGTCAGATTTGGTTCAGAGTAGATTCTTCTTTGTTTATTCATATCAGCAGCTGTCTCATCTGAAGGGCTGTGCTCTCTGAAAACTGTACTTAAGAAGGTAATAAATGGTTTATATAATGCTCTCTTGTGCAGTCAAAGTGGGTGAGGTGTAGAGTGAATATTGGTTCTTACTTCACACTGAACAATTTAAAGTTTTTGCTCTAAGTTCCTTGTCAATGTCTTAGAGGAAAATACATTTTTTTAAAGATTTTCTGTATTTGTCAAAACATTATTGCTGGATCAATTAAAAGCAAAAATAAGTAATGAATAAAGAAGTCTATGTATAAAAATATATTTATTAAAATCTGATTCCACAGATATATTTTAACATCAATACAATACCTATATTAATAATTTGCATTGGAAGAACTTATGCATTGATTTTTATGATTTAAAAATCTAATAATGCTTAAAGACTACATAATCTGAAAACAGAGAATAGGAAAATTGACATACATATGATTCTCTTGTACTACATTACTTGTATTTGTAGCTTATATTTATTTATTAAAGAACATTCAGGGTTATTGAATGGTATTTTTTAAGGACTAAAGGGTTCTGAGAAATCAATACAAGTTAAAGGATATTTTATATGTTGGAAAATGTTAAATGATACAACAAAATTATGCATAACCTAAACAGTATTAAAAACACTACAAAAATTTTAAATTTTTATTTTGTAGAAATATTGGAAATTGATTTTATTGCTAAAAAGTAAAACCATAAAATGATAAATAAAAATGTACACCATTTATGTAAGAAGATTTTTATTTCAAACTTCCAGAAAGATATAATGTTTTTTAATATCAATAAAGTTCACTTTTGTGAGTTTTTACAATAATTCAGATAATGCAATTTAATACTTTAGTCAATGGGCTCTGCAGTTGGTGATATCTAGAATTAATTCTGGCTTTGCAAGTTCCAATCTGTGACCTTTAAAAAGTTACTTAGAAACATCACTTGGGAAAAATATGCTTTTATGATGTACACTTGAAATAATATATCTTTTGTAAAATGTAGAGAGGAGTACATTCTTTAATTTGTCTACCACGCAGTGGATAATTGAAGTTATCAATTGAAGTTATCAACTGAAGTTATCAACAAAAAAGTACTTATTTTGTATCTAAAGACTTAGTTTAGTAATCTAAAGAGGGAATAAGAGTATAGAAAATATAATGCACGTGAAACTTTTAATTGTCACTTAATGTTCTTGATAAATATTAACTATTTTAATTATCATTTTATTCACAATTGCTATGTTAGTGTTTCTGATTCACATCAGTAAAAACATAGAAAGCAGGTGAGCACAGTGGCTCATTCCTTTAATCCTAGGCTGAGAGCGTCACTTGAGGCCGTGAGTTCAAAACCAGCCTGAGCAACAGGTGTTGGTCCACACTTTGGAAAAAAGCTGAAATTAAATTAAATACAAGTGAAGTAGAATAAACAACAAATAATATAAAATCACGAGACACAGTAAGCAGAGAGGATCAACAAAACTAAAGATATTTTTACTGAAAACAATTAATAAAATCAATAAAAGACTATTAAGAAAGAACCAGGGAAAGCACAATTTTTTTTTTCAGATTAAATGTAGGACTAGCTTATGGTTTTAACACGTATCAAAAAGTATGAAACCATTTTATAAATACAACTTAATATCCATGTGAAATAAACAATTCTTAAAATGTGTCTATTATTAAAATGTAGTAATACATTAATAAAATGTAGTAAAACAACAGACACCTGAGTAAACCCTGCATGTATTAAACAAATTGAGATTGTTATATAAACATCCCTATCAATATAGTCTACAAACTCAGATGGCATCACTAATGAGTAATAAACAGTACTCATACACAAAGGCTTCCAGGTTATCAAAAAAGAAATGCTTCCCAGTGTAGTCTTGATAGCAAGAACTTTCAAGTATGTAGCAATGAATAAAAACATAATAGAATCTCCTGTGAACGTGGATCATGAAATGTTACTCTAATATAATGTATGCACTGATTTACATTAAAGGGATAATATAGAATGACCAGTATGATTTTATCTCAGAAATGCAAGACTTAACATTTAAAAGAAATAAAAGTAGTTTACATTATAAACATTGCACAGAGAATATACATATCATTTTAATTGATGCAAAAATATTCAAATATAACAAGGATTCAAAGCAAATTCTGTTAGAAAAATAGGAATGTTATAAAATTGCATGAATATGCTAAAGTTATAAGAAAATTCAAAAATATAAAATGTTAAAATATTTTCATCAAAAACAGTAAATAATACATATGATATACATAGAACCATTGTTGTACCTTCTCTTCATCATTGAAAATAAAATTCTAGACAGTGAGAATACATAAAGAAAAAATTTTATGGCACCCAGAAAAAAATTAAAGTGTGATTATTACAGAAAAAATAGTAGTTTATATAAAAAATCCAGAAAATCCTATACCTGAAGTGGTAGAATTAATACATAAAATAAAGAAAGTAACTGGATATGGGATCAACATACAAACGTCAATTGTATTTCTCTTTACAGCAACAAAATAACTAAAGGAAATTTTAAAATGAGAATGCTCTTTATAAAAGCATAAATGTGAAATATCTGTATTTCTGTATGACTTCAATACCAAATAACACAAAATATGGTAGAAAGAAATTAAAGAAAACCTACTATGTTGCTGGATGTAGCATGATACTGATTGAAAAAGTTAACTTTATATAGAGGCCCAATCTTTGAATACGACTTTAGAGAATAATGTAGTCCCAAATGGGAGAGATATTTTCAAATAATGGCTATCGAGATGTCATGTAGATAGCATAAATTTCATGTATTTAAAGTGTATAAATCAGTTAATTTTAGTATATTTACAGAATTAAAATCAAATCATTTCCAAAATTTGGAAAAGTTTCATTACCCAAAAAATAAAAAATGTAGCGATTAGTGGTCACTCCCTATTCCAACCTACCCTTATTCTTCGACAATAACTATTCCCCTTTTCAGTCTCTAAGGGTTCACCCATTTTCCATATTTTATGGAGACAGATTCACATAACATGCAATTTTTAGGAGATTTCAATGCCACAAATAGAATGCTGAGAAAAAAGAAAACAGACACAAAAGCAATGATATTCTGTTCTTTCTGGTGTGTGTATTATTCTACAAATATTATTTTTAATATCTTTTCATTATTAAAACAAACTACAATTCATCTTTAATTATACAAGCATAATATTATGTCCACTTCACAAAATATAATATTACCTGGTCAACTCCAAACTCAGGTGCTTTACTTCTAAAGCTTGTGCTTACAAATATATGTTTTTGGAGACCTACATCCACTTGAGTGAAGACTTGATGAGTATAGCACAGCACAGTGATTTCTACCATATAATATTTCCTCTATTCTGTAATAGACAAAAATTCATACTTCTTTTATATTTTATGAGGACAATTCATGAAACAACAGGATTTTCCATGTCCTTTAAGAAAAGAATTTTATCATTTAATCACATTTTAATGTAATATGAGTAAGAGTTGGTTATTATGAAAACTGAACACAGTGGTCCCCCATATCTATAAGGGATGTGTTTCAAGACACCAGTGGATGCCAGAAATCACCTATTTTACTGAACCTTATTATACATTATGTTTATTCTATATATACACATCTTTGGTAAAGTTTAATTTATAAATTAGGCACAAGAAAGAATTAACAGCAATAACTAATAATACAAAGGAGTAAATATAACAACATACCAACATCACTACCCTTGGGCTTTTGCCCCATTAAGTAAAATAAGAGGCACTTGAAACCAAACACTGAGATACTGTGACAATTGATCTGATCACCAGAGGGCTACCAAGTGACTAAAGGGTGGGTCACCTATACACTGTGGACCTGCTGGTCAAAAGATGATTCACATCCAAGGCAAGACAGAGTGGGACAGTGTGAAATGTCATTACACTACTCAGAACTCTGAGCAATTTAAAGCTCATAAAGTGGTGTTTTCTGGATATTTAATTCAAAATTTTCCAAACATGGTTGAGTGCCTTACTGTCAAACTACAGAAACAAAACCACCTATAAGGGGGGGGACAAGTGTGGTCCATTGTTTAATATTTACATCAGCATTTCACTAACTTTCAACATCTTATTCATGTCTTTAATTCAACTTAAACTTACCCATATTACTCTCCTGAATTTCTCCTTTTTATATTTTTTTCTACTATATCCCACTACTCAAAAAATCTTACTTAAGGTTGAAAGTTGAGCCATTTATAGACACCCATGGACGATCGCTGCCATTACGAAAGACTCCAATCCATGCTTGGTTTGAAAGGGAGCCCAGAAATTTCTACAGGAATATAAATATTGTATATTTAAATAATTATTAAATATTTAACAATTTTTAAAGTGCCAGTAGTGTGTTTGCTCATTGCATCTATAACTGTCAAAATTACTGTTTTAAGCAATATTAAAGTTGAAAACTCCTTTATTTAGTGCTAAGAACTTTCGCACAAGTTTGTAATTTTCACTTAAAAAGAACTCTTAATCATTTATACTTACTAGTGTCATGCTTCTTATGCTAATGAAGAAAATTATGATGCATGTAATTTAACAGTAACTAATATAAATGAATTTAAATAACATTTGAGATACTGAACATACTTTTCTCCTACTGTTAATGTTAAATCAATCTATATTTCTATACAACTCTGAGATTTGGGGGTTTAGAAGAAAATTAAAAGGGTTGCCATTCAGAAAATAAATGACACATAAGCCAAAATGCAGTTTTCTGGACACCACACCATTTTTAAACTAGCTAACCCCCCAGTTTTGTCTGTTTTAGTACTGGTGGAACACCAGTGGTCCAAAGCGGGTGCTTCACCTCACTAAATACAACCATAAATTCTGGAACTTATGAAAGACACAAGCAAGCATACTCCGAAAGTTGGAAAAAGAAAGGTGGAATGGTTTGGAAACCCAGGATCAGGGATCAACATACTAACTGGGCATCTTAAGTCCCCACCCAACAGAAGAAAGTGACCTAGGCCTGCTGTCCCCAGCACCCAACCAGGCAATGAGAGGTGCCTCAGGTAAGCTCATTCCCCTTCTGTATTGAGAGGGAGTCCTGCCAGCAACTCCAGCAAGGCTGGCACCACTGGTAAGGGTGATCTATCAGGAGACCTGCTAACAGTAAGTAGCCAGAGGAAGTGCTTCTGTACCTCACCAAGAGACACCAGGGTTTGTGTGGCTGAGGGGGACCAGCAAAGGAGTCCCATGGCTACAAATGCTCCATCCAGGAAGCCTCTGTGTCCCTGAGGGCCTGAGACTCATGTCCTCATCCAGACACCACATGGAATGAATTTTAAAATGTTGTATGTACATAATACTGCAGTGAAAATTATTAAACTATAGCTAATTCATTAGTATAAATAAATTGCAAAAATGTCACATGGGAGTGAAGGACACAGACATAAGAATGTATAATGAATGACTCCATTTATGTCAATTCTAAAAAAGGTGAAGCTTAATCATGTATCAGATGTCAGGACAGTATTTTGGGGAAAGGGAAGGAAAAGAGATCAGGGTATACACAGGGGTGAGGCTGTTGGGGTTGGAAACTTCTAATGATCTGTCTTATACTACATGAGTCCATTCACAGCATGATCAGTCTGCACAATTATAATGTGCTTAGTTCTTAATATATAATAAAATTAAATAGCAATATTTATTTTCAAATTAAAACATGGATACGAGCATGGTTTTCTGTGAGAAGCAAGATGTGAAAATAATTTAATGTGTATTATCAGCATATGAATATAAATAACCTATTGTGAAGTCAATCAATGGATTATTTACAGGTTTGAAAATAAAGTAGCTAATTATATGTTTATAAATATTTATGAATTCTATAAATATAATAATAGCTGATAGAAGCTTTTAATAAAGTGTTTTTAACTTTAGCATCTTACCATTTCTTCTTCATCATCTATGTAAAGCAGACTAGAGCTCTTAGAAGCACAGGCCATCAAACTCTCATCCCAAGTCTTGAATTCCTTACTAATGTAATAACAATTGGTGGAATATGTGAACCACTCCTCTGGACAACGGCCACAATCATATGCTGAAGAAAGACTGAATTATTATCCAGAAAGAATGTGAATTTTTTAGAGTAAAAATTAAGCTATATATTTGTGAGGATGTAAACTTACATGCACATAACATATCTGACCATCCAGAAAGCTGATACAGGCAAAAAACATTCTCACTCATATACACACACATTGAAATTGGAAAGTCTCTCCTGCCCTAATTATGTTCCTACATAAAGAAAAAAATAAACTAAATCCACCCTACACATGTCTGAGAAATTACTGAACAAATCATTTTTAGACTAGCAGAAGTATTTAATTCTTAATATATGACAGCAGTAGTAATTTCAGTATAATGACAAAAAGAGGGTATAGTGATTTTAATTAGCATTCCTACTTATTGTCGAACAAAAGAGAATATCGTCCTACAGTCTTTAATTGTGAATATTTATTGTCCAATATTCTAATTTATTTTCCCCCCCAAAAATCTATTATATATTTTGCACAGACTAAGATAGAGATAAAATATAAAATGTACCTTTCTGAGTTTTCACATTCTGGAAAGAATTGTCCTGCTTCTTTATTACTGTAACTAGAAAAATTAAAGTAATCCTTAGTAAATAATTAATATCTAAATATCCTATTCCCTGCTTTTATGAAATGTTTAGGGGCACTTTCAATCATTAAAGTGAAAAATTCTATTGTAATCTTTCAAAAATATACTTACAGGGAATAAGAGCTATTAATACCATTTTTAACACAGAGCCCACTAGGACAACGCAAATGACAGCCAGGATCTCAGCAGTGAGCTTCTCTGGAGGTAGCAGTGAAACTGCAGGGGGAGAAACAGAAACACTGAGAAAGGAGAGATGGAGACAGTTGATTAGAAGGTTTACATACAGGACAACCCATGTGTACAGGGAACCAAAGGGATAAACTCTTGTCTCTAAACCCGCATCTACATTGTAATCATTCTCAGAAAGTACACTGTTGCATATTCAGTAAATATAATGCCCCAGGATTTGTTGATGAAGGCCTATGAGTTTAACAATGCCTGAATAAATTCGGCCCTCAGATTCATATTAGAGTACCATGTACAAACTTTGAGTTCTCATCCTCGCATATGAAAAATGTTCCCTCATCTTTCCCACAACTCTTCACCAAAACTATATATCCCAGAACAGTTATAGTGAGGATCTAGTAAATGCTTACGTTTGTAGTAGCAGATCTTCTCCTTCCCTGAAAGATCCAGAGTAGCATTTTGAAGGTTTAATTCCACTTGGGCTATTTCCTGTTCAGTTACAGAAATGGAGCTTTTCCCACCCTTAGATTTTCTTTGCTGCCTCTTTGGGTCCTTGGCCAGATTCACTCTTTGGTTCTTCATCTCCGCAGCTGTGTGACTCAGAGATTGCTCTGTGATAACTGGGCTTAAGAAGTTGATAAATGATTTATGTAATGATAAAATCCCTTATGTAGTCAGACTAGGGTATATTGGGAGCTAAGTAATAATGTTCATTTTGTGGGTGAACAATGTAAAAGTCTGATACTAATTTCTTTAAAAATTTCTACAAAGTCTTATAATTAAACAAGTAATTTTCAAAAATCATAGTCTATATTTGACATAATATTATTTGTTGGAACAATAAAAAATGATGAACTAGTGAGGAATAGAAGCTCATAAATACAAATATTTTTATTAAAGTCAGATCCTGTAGAAACATTTTAATACCATTAAGAATATGCATGTTAAATTGTTAAAATTCTGTACTGGAAATAATGCACTAATTGTAAGACACTTACAATTCATTAATTATGAATAATTGAGTGCTATCAAATGGAGAAGTAGTAATACTAGCCTATATAGTAATTTCTTATATTAAAATACTTTTAGTTATTGATTTACATTTACGTTTAAACTCTAAGACCCTATGATGTCAAAATCCTAAGGCACTTTTGTTGTGTAAATAAGTGTGATAATTTAGATAATGTAATCTGATAATATATTCAATGAGTTTGGCAGCCACCAAGATCTAGAATTACATGTGGCATTGAAATTTATAATGTGCAACCTTTGAAAATTACCTAATATCTAGTAACATAGTTTACTAATATAGAATGGAAAAAATAACTTATAAAGTATAATGTATGTAAAACACTTAACACATACATGGCAATTATAAGCTATCAAAGTTTTAGTATTTTAATTATTTTATTACAATCGCTTCATTATTTTTCTGGTTCACATTAGTTAGAAGATGTAAAATAATTCATTGATAAGAATCCCTTATATCATCTTTTTGTTGCAATGTTTTAAGTGTTTCCATTCTTTATAATGAAGTTTAGATTCACATTTTATTAGTTATCTCATTCTTATTTTACCCAAAGTAAAACTGCCTGCATTTACTCTAAAAACATAAATGGGAAATTACATTTGACAGAGATAATTTGAAGTATTTATTTTAAATATCTATTTCTAAAGGCTGGGATAAATAGAAAATATTATTGGCTCTGTACTGATTATAAAATTAATTATCATTATTAATTAATTGTCATGATTGTTATGAGTGTCACTTTAAATAATATTGATTAGCAAACCTAATCTCATGAGTGTAAGTTGACTAATTCTCCACCGGCAATAATTTCAGTACTTGAGACAATCCTTCAACATATTTTATACTTTAGGCTTCTTGTTCACCCTGAATTATTCAAGTAAAAACACCAGTGTTCTACTCTGATATTATTCTAATATTTGTAACTTCCCACTAAGTGAGATGGGCTGGTAGACACAGAGGAGAATATCAGCACATACCTTCTGTCCCCAGAACGTCCTGTAGTCTTTAGTGGAGAGGCCAGGTTACTCCTGATAAGAAAGAAGAAATGTCTGTGGTCTTCGCAGAGCGCCCTGTGAAGGCTCAGAGCGAGGCAAGAGTGGAGAAGGGAGATTTCTCATCACTGTGTCACTTCAGGGTCTGAACAGGAAATTCTCGCACTTGGGCTGTTTTGAAGTCAGTTGATCTCATCACACACCTCCAGAATATGGAAGACTTTGGGCTTCTTGTGTTGTTTAGTTTGTCCATTTCATGTGCCTCTAGAAATTATTTTCATATTCAATAATATACAGGAGAACAGAGGCTCGACTAGCCATGCTGGTAAATTTCTCCATCTCAGTCACCAACAACTAAAATGTTAGACCTTGTTACCAAATGTTTAAGTTCTCATTTAGACAAGGATGCGAAAGCTTGGCATTGCATACTTCTTTTCTTATATTCTTATTAACATAATTGCTATTATAATGAAAAATAATTTTAAATCATAATCACATTATTAGTAGGAATTTAATGTATTTCTCACTAATTATTCTAAGGAATTGCTACATTTTCAACATTCTTATAATCAATATGACATCAATTCCCAAACTTAAATTCCCAAACTTATCTTCTTGATTTCTCTGGCTTAGTACCTAAAATTCTCACTTTCAGTTTTATACTTTATAAATAAGTTAATCAGATTTATCTGAAAAACTAAACGTTTCTGGGAAGGATAATATATTAAACAATATATTATATTATATAGCTCAATATATATATTGAGCTATATCACCATGCCAGAAATTGAAATATTAAATAACTACTCAGTATTGTTCACCAATTCATTCTCCAATCATAACACATTGTCTGTATTTAATAGGAATATTTGTTGTAAATGACTAAAGCCTGAGTTAAACTATGTAGGAGGAAACATGAATTTTAAAAATGCCACCTACCTCAAAATAGGGCAAAAAAGTACTTTTAAAATTCAGGTAAAATGACACATGAATGTAAAGGGAAAAACTTTACCTAGTTTGTATCAAATGAGAATCTTTTCATCATTCCTCATCTCACATCAACAAAAGGGAGAATGTTTGTTATTTATAATTCCAAAGTCTATTCCATGAAACCTCTTAAAGATTGATTTGAGAAAAACTTAATCTCGAGCTTCCTAAAATCTACCAAAATGGAATTTAAATCCATATTTATGTCCTTGGAATCAGAACAATTATTTGAGTCTTCAGGAGAATAGCCAATGTTGGCTAGGTATGTATGTATTTCTGTTACTTATATTTTAATATATGTTCATAAACTAAATTAATAATCTGATATATGCTTGTATTCATGTTTTATGCATTTCTATTAGAAGTAAATTTATTTATTTATATTTACATATTATTACATTTTCATAAGCTAAATTAATAATCCTTTCTATTAGACACATGATAGCAATAAAACAACAAAACCATCATTAAAACTGTCAAATAATATAATATTCTCTATTGTCTTTTTTTTAAATTTGCAGTACTGATATCTACTATGTCTGCTAACATCCACTTGATACTTTCAATTAAATAACATTATACAGTCATGTGTCACTTAGCAAACAGGGATACATTCTGGGAAATGCATTGTTAGGTTATTTCATCATTGTGTGAACCTCGTACAGTATATTTTTATGAACTAGATGGTATAACCTGCTACATCCTTAGCTCATATCATATAGCCTCTTGCTCCTAGGCTACAAACCTGTATAGCATGCTACTATTCAGAATAATATATGCAATTGTAGCACAATGGGGTGTTCAACGTATTTAAACATAGAAAAAGTCCAGTAAAAAATATGGTACAAAAGAGAAAAAAAAAAGGGTATACCTCTACAGGGCATGTACCATGAATGAAGCCTGCACGAATAGAGGTCTCAGCGGGTGAGTCAGTGAGTTAGTAGTGAGTGAATGTGAAGGCCTAGGACATTACTATATACTATTGTAGACATTGTAACATTGTACACTTAGTCCACACTAAATTCATACAAATTTTTTCTTTGTTCAATAATAAATTAACCTTAACTTACTGTAACCTTTTATTTCATACATTTTCTAGCTGCTTAACATGTTTGACACAAAAATTAGCTTAAAACGAACATATTTTACAACTGCACAAATATATATAATTTGTATCTTTATACTATGAGCTTTTTTCCATTTTTAAAATATTTAATTTTATAGGTTTTTGTTAAAAACTAAGACAAACACTTAGCCTCGGCCTACGGAGGGTCAGGATCCCCAGTATCACTGCCTTCCATCTCCACATCTTGTCGCATGGGAAGTCTTCAGGGGCAGTAACATGCATGGAACTGTCACCTCCTATGATAATAATGCCTTCTTCTGGAATACACCCCAAAGTATGTCCCTGAGGTTTTCTGACAGTTAACTTTTTTTTAATAAGTAGATGGAATGAACTATAAAATAATGATAAAAATATCTGTATCATGAATACAGAACCCAGTATCAGCAACATATTTTTTATTATCATTATCAAGTATTAAGTACTGTACATAAATGTATGCATACTTTTATATGACTGTCACCACAGTAGGTTTGTTTACAGCAGCAGCAGCCTAGACACATGAGTAATGCCTTGTACTATAACAATGGCTATGATATAACCAGAAGACGAGAGTTTTCAACTCCATCATAATCTTATAGGACCATTGCCCTGTATGCAGTTCATTATTGACAAAAATGTCATTATGCAGTGAATGACTATATGTCACATCCTTTCTTATATGTAATAATATCATGTTTTTATTGTTCTAGCATTTTAATAGAAAGTCTAGGCTTATACAAAGGCATAATAAAATATGAAGACACAAGAAAAATTATTCAAAATATTAGGTGTGGTTAGAATTTACTATATATGATATGAATATATATGCTTATGTGTACATATAGAACCTAAATATATATTATTTTGACTGTTTCTAATAATTTTAACACCTAGTTCCCAAGAGTTATGGTAAATTGGAAACAAATAATAAGTGAAATTATTCTTTTAATATGATGCCAAAATAATTCATTTTTAAGAATTTTTAAATAGAATTAGTAACTACTTCCTCTAGACTAAAGGAATACATTTTTAAATACCTTTTAAAGATGATACCATCTTTCCAATCAAAATTGAATATGCAGAAAGGAAAGTTGAAGAAAAGAAATTGTGTAGCTATATCTAAATGCATATGAATGGATAAATATTAACCACAAAGTTTCAAACTTGAAATGTATGTCTGTATTAGTATTCAGAAAGTCAGCACAGCATAATCAGTATATAAAAGTACAGGGTAGTTTCAGTCACTTTCTGCTGCTATAACAAAATACCACATACAGCGGCAATTTATAAAAGACAGAAATTACTGCTCTCTTTTTGGGGGCAGGAAAGTCTAAGACAAGTTTCTGGAACTTTGGTGTGTGGTATGGGCTGGTCTTTGTTCCAAGACACAACTTGTTGCTGTGTCCTCACTGGTGGAAGATAGAAGTCCTTTTCCAAGCACAATCCTTTCATAACTAATCACTTCTATAAGCCTCCACCTCTAACTACCACCACAATAGGGATTGAGTGTGAACATGAATTTTGGTGGAAACACAAACATTCAAAAACCATAGCAAGGGTAGTTAGATCTTTTCACTGTTTAAGAAGGATTAAAATTACTAATTTATTAGATTTTTTTAAACGGTTATTCAGTATTTATTCTGCAATGCAAAGGTGACAACTAAAATATAAAAAGGCTGTATGGCTTAACATTTTTGTTGCAAATTAATACTGCCAGCATTTGAAAAATGGAAGGTGGCCTCAACGTCTGACAGCAGGTTAAAAGAAAATCTCTCCATTTTCTTCATCATATGGGATAACACTGTTCAGGCAATCCAAATAATAAAGACTTGCCACTTTCATATGGACACAAGATCAAGTGTACAGGTAGGTTTCAATTCACAGTATGTAAGAAAACAATGAAAGGAAAGTAAAGGTTAACTTAGCAAGGATTTATTCACAAGGAATACATGTAAGTAGAGAAAAATAACAGAAGCTAACCAACATGAAATGAAAGGATCCAAACCTTTCACGTCTGTAGCATTTACTTGCACCCTGTGGTCATATATCTAGGCACGAGTGCCACAACATCCGCGCCAATGACAGTGTGGAACCTGCATTCATCCATTAACTTAAACATATCTTTAAGATATCATGCTTTGACAAAAAAAAAAAGAAAGAAAAAAAAAAAAAAAGAAACTTAGAAGGCAATACGGTTGAGTGGGAATAACTTCGAAATATAGCAAATCATTTGTCAACTTTCTTACATTGTCTTTATGTTCAACTAACATTTATGAGCTTTTTTACAGATCTTTTGCCATGTAATTTAAATTTTAGAAGTTTTGATAAAAATCACTGGAGTAGTTATATACCATGCAGAAAGCACATCAAACTGACAGCACAGGCAAGATTTTCCAGGTATACGTTTCCAACATTGTGCAGGTTGCAACAAATACAATATCAATCTTATTCCTAACAGATCCTAAAAAAGATATTGTCAAGGGCTAGCTGTAAACTACAGTACTTTATATAAGATATATTCTTAATAAAAATAAAATCCCACAATCTTAAAAGGAATTTTAAATGCGGGCTATTGATTGGTATGCAACACAAATGCGCAACAATAGGTAAGATGAATACCAACCTCACTCTATGTGATATCAAGCATGCTACTTTCCACTAATTTAAATTACTTTGATCACTATGAACCAAATGCATGCTGAACCTTAAACTGGCACTTTAATAATCTTGGCCTAGAATTTAATCTAATGAAGTACAACATCAAATTATTCCACTACATTGAATGTTAATGTAATTAAGATGTATCTTTAGTTTGATTATGCCCCAACGCCATTTATCCTTCCTCCCTGCCCACCCACAAAGGGTAAAAGGAGTGACTCATTTGGCCATTTCACAGTGCTTCATTGTTTAAATTTGCTTTGTTTTTATTCCAACTTTTTTTGGTACCTTAAACGTAACTTCCAAGAACCCGCTTCTACTATGGCAAGCAAGCTGATTTTAATCTATTAGTTTGTTTTGTATAGTTCTTCATCAGCATGCAAAACAAGGCCCATCATGTGGAAATTTTATATAAATCTTTAAATTAAAAAAGCTTCTTTTACTGTTTGTAACCCCTTAAGTTTCTTTATTGTGCACTA